ATCCCGTGACACAATCTATTTACCACATTCGAGTAACGCAATTTTCAAGGAACCTCAGTATTCCAAGCTTCATTTTGGTATTAACTATTGTACTTCACATCTCAATTAGCCAGTTGGTTCTATCCCATGGTGGAAAAGTTGTATGAGCGGATTCAATTTAGACCCTCAGTATCCTAATGAGTAAATTTCATTGAGCTAACTTACTGAGTAAGGGACAACAACGAACTAAGTAGGCGGTTCGTCACCCGTAATGGCGTTCGTCAAGAGTACTCTAGTTAGCGATTCCATTTTTTCGTTTACGTATTTCAATTATCGGTGTTTACGTAGTGTAGCCCGAGCTGGATGAACCGAACGAGTATTCTGAAGGCAAGCCGTCATGTGTTTGAGTGTTTATCAAGGATAAACCTGCTAATCCATCAAATTCAGACTGGCTTCATTGGCTAGGCTACATATTGCGTATGCCCAAAGTCAGCTGCCATTGAAGATCTGGTGAGGAAAGCTGATCGCTCGGTTTCGTCCTTACGCGTTGGCATTCGTTGTTTTTTATTGCGTCCGGTGCGTTCTGAACGTTCGATATCAATTGACCAATCAGAGTCGTCGAACCGATTGATTACGCTATCTGACCAATCAGAAACGTCGTACCGTCCGTGGTGAAACAGTGATCGATCGTTTCGGGCCGGAGGCTCACCCAGCTGCGATTTTTTTCTTTCGGCTATTCTCGCCAAACAATTGACTTTTTCGACCGGATATTTTTTGGAATTTTACTTTCCTGACCAAAAACATCTCGCAGTTATTAATCACTGCAAGATTGACTAAATGAAAAATGACAAAACAGATTTAGTTTGACTGAAGTTTGAGTTTTCAGTAGTCGTGCGAACAAATCAACCGTTTTAATCCGTTAAAATGAAAAACTGGCAGATATCTGTGAAAAAATGCACTATTTACTGCAAACTGGGTTTAGAGTGGAATGAATATAATTCGGAAGACACTAGTGACTACAGAGAAGTTGAGTAATAATGTGAAATGTCTACACCAGCGCCCAACTCAGTTCAGAGTAGAAGAAATGTCACTGCTCTCTAACTTTGTCATAGGTAGCTTGTTTGCACAATCTTTCGTGGCAACACATACTGCGGATATACTTCAAAGTGGCATCCGCGGTGCCACTGAACCTCTTCCCTTATTCAACATTCAGTATTAACACAACCGTGGGTTGAATATTTTACGGACCTCTACTTAATACCCCATGGAGCACCCAGTACTGGTTATCATCTCTTGCGGGATCATGGATAACTGTTACTCATTCGTATCACCACATGTATCATTCACTAAACTATAAAGATCGCACGAATATAACCAGCATGTGAAAAGATGCGACGGGTTGAACAATGATCCAGTAGAGATGAGAACCTATGCGATAAAGCTGAGTAGCGAAGGGAGAAATCGCAGGTAATGGATTGTTGCCATTGGTATTGTGGGTTGAATGCATTAATCAGCCAGGGAATGACAGAGAAAAATACGATTTCTGCTAGCCAGTGAATAGATTCGAATTCGATCTTACTATTCAGATGAAATACTCCTACTTCTTTCAACAATACCATTGTTATCATCTTATTCATGTTAAATATCGTGTCAAGTGTGCATTTCAACATTAGAATTGCGTAAGTAATCGCATTTGATTCAATGGAATCGGTTTTATTGGAGAGAAACTCGGCCTCAATAGAATTTACTCATTGGGTTATTGTAGGCTTAGACTGACTCCACTCATACAACATTCACGTCTGGGAATGTTGACCGACCTAATCGATCCATCTTGACGTGATTCGCTTCCTTACCGGACCGACAGAGGTCAATTAACTCCGGGTTCGTTCATTCGTATCTGTGACGCACACTCGATCAACGATCACGAACATAACGTTCCCGGGTGGAACGGGTGTGGGGGGAGAACGGCCCACCTCGACCCACCCACCTCCCTCCTGAAACATTCAACCTCACTAAAAATGTACTTTTGTTTGTTTACGGGGAAGTGAGTTCATTCGGACTGAACGGAGTTTGGACAGCCCCGGCCCAATGGGTGACATTTGACGGCCCAAACACCAATAATCTTGTGGGGTTTCCAATGAATTGCTATTGGTTGGATTCACTTGAAGTTACAACGGATTCACTTGAGGTTGAAAAGGTATAGACAGGTCGTATCAATGCGTTTGTTCAACGGGACGTACCATAGGTTGGTGGTGGCGCAGTATTTTTGTCGCTCTCATCGGTGGGCTTTGGACCCTATGGTCCGGGGTTCGATCTCCACCACCCCACTGGTGGTAGATAGCTTGATTGTCATCCGATTCAACAACACACCTAACCTTACGGCTTTGATGTGGTCCCTTGGCTTGAGGACCGTTTTCCATCATCGAACAGCAGGTTCTTGTGACTATGGGGCTTTCTACATCTGGTGGTTATCCCATCAAGGTGTGTATAAAAACACCTGTGCACCACTTGTTTTGTTCCACTTTCAGGAGGACGCCAAACCTGTTGATGTTCCCGGTCGCACAGCTTTAACCGATCTTTCAGAGGAATTCATTCTCGTGCCCTTGCTGCACTATGAGCAAGTCGCACCAACTCCACTCCCTCCGGACGCGTCAGTCCGTGTCCACATTCCCGGTCACCGTGTGCCACCGCCAGCGGCAGCAGCAGCAGCACGTCCAACGTCAGTGGCCAGTCCCAATCAGATAACATCAGATCCTCGTGCCTCAGTCATACAAAAAGTGTCCCGTCCGGCCAGTGTATCCAGCGCCGAAGATTCGGCCAACCCATTGCTCGATACCGAGCCGCCGGAATCTGTCAATTCGAACGACCCATCACAACTAACACACGAGAAGGTAAATGCAGTGGTTGCTATTGTGCATGCTCGTCCCCTCTCCCCTATTGTTTGTGGATTGAATTTATCCACATAGATAAGTGCTATTAGAGCACAGCTATGGTTTCAAAAAATAACCACACACCAATGACTGAACAAGATCGTCCGGACGGCAAGCAAATGTCCCGATAACCCTTCAAATAGCATAATTGAAGTTTTAGCCCAATCGGGAAAACAAAGTGTTTTCCTCCATGACTTATCAGCTGGTCGGCGATTTCCCATCTGCTTCTGAATCATATAAAAGGATAATCAATTGGTGTACTATTTTTGAACAGTGGATATGTGGTGCTTCGCCTATTGTGTATCTGTCTTCTTCCCCACCGCCAGTGGATCAGGTAAGGCTAAGGTTTAATTCAACTGTTTTTGGATCACACAGTGGAAGTGGGGACCACTATTCGAATTACGATAGCTTCAACCGTGCATAGACTGTTGATCAAAAGCTGTTTTGATGCACCGCTTATGATAAGTGATGCGGAACTCCATGTCAGCATTCACTATGTATTGTCTTCTGTAACTGTTGAAATTGAACCCTGTTCACATGGCTCAACTGATCATGATTTTGTCTACCCGTCTTTGAATGCTGCTTCCTAGTTGTTCGGTTGTAGCTCGCAGTATAGTTGTCGGTATACATGTAAGCTGAAATCATATTATTCGTGATATGATAAATAAGTCCAGATAACAAAAGTGTTTTAGAGAGTTTTACCTCGATTGACTTCTGGCATTCTCATTAGCATAGATATGGGGCCTAAATTCAGTCATGGCTTTTATATTCACGTATCTACTTCGGTCTTTGGGTATCCGGGATTGAAATGCTGTCATAGTTTTTCCCTCTTGATGGTGAATGCAATTATTGGATGGTTGCCAGTTAACATTCGCATCACGGTATCAGGATCTGAAAAGCTCAACATGGACGTAGTTTGGTGTCTCACTTTGTGACGCGTAGCTTTTCTCTTGCATCTTGTGAAACGCTCCTATGCGACCAAGCGTTTCAAATACCTTCTACTGAAGAAACTAAGACTAATTGTTTCTACATGGTGAGGGGGCGAAGTGCAAACACGTAAGGCAGGATCGGTGAATCACTGGTATTTCATCTAGGGAAGTCTGAGAGACCTAAAGAGACTTATAGACAACACTTACACCTTAGTAGCTGGTTGGATTGAGCATCGAGGTGAATAAATATCTGGGACCTCAGATTCTCCCGGAAAGCACATGGTCGAGTGAACTGGACATCGGCCCTTAACGGATCACGAACTCTAAGCTGCGTCCTTCCGCCCTGCGAGTTTAGTTTTCCAATCAACAACTTCAAGTGAGAACCTCAATTTAAAAACCCTCTTCATTCTCAGTAATCGGAACGTAGTATACCCTTACAACTTATGTATATCCCATATATTGTGATATTTTGTGAATTCACATATAGGCGTTAAAAATACTTATATCGGGATCAGTGTTTGTATGTATGGCTATACGCACATGGTGTTCTCCATTACCCTAATGTTTGTCAGCGCAAAGCGAACAGAATGCCGATCCCATCGCATCTGTATCGGTATGTTGTCAGGCACCACCAACAGCTCGTCAATAAACGTACACTGAAGGGATGGGTTACTCAATGTCTAAACAGTGGTTTTCCGTATACTTATGTCGGGATTTGATGTTCTGCAGTGGTGGATAGTTCATTGATTAACGAGATCTCACCTAGAATGGTGACTGTATTAGAAGAAGAAATATTGATTTATTTGGTAGAGAATAGGTTGTCGTTCACACTTAGTTTGATTTATTTGAATTGCCCAATGGACTATTATCTTGTGATTGGACTGGAAGAGTTGATCCTGCCTAAGATCTACTTTTACTGTGTTCTTTTAACATTGTGATGGAGATTCATTTTTTCTTCATCAACTTGGTGCTTAATGCTCTCACTATGCAACATGCTATCGATTACTTCCGCCTTTCTTCGTTTCGATCGCCCGTGCCCCAGTTGACCCCAACACATCGATTAGAAGTTAGTGACATGAAATTGCGCTGGACAGAACACACACGGGATCTGGTCTACATGCTCATGGACACGTATCAGCATGCCCAGTCACTCAAGCGAAATTTATCCGCTCGTGCCACTCAGGCATTCCATTTGGACGCCAATTCCGGCGGGCGAATAAAGCCAACAGAAGCAGTTCAATCCGGGTAGGTTTATTTTCCCGTAACCTGCAAAGCTCCATTAATCTTTGTAGATCAATAATGTTCCAGGCGTGGGGGGGGGGGTATGATGGGCAAAAAATTGGTTACAGTCGATGTGCTTACGTGAGTCCAATTCATCGCTAGATCAGGGAACCTGCAAACGTCCACCCTTTTCGCGCAGACTCAGTGATGCAACGGCTTTCACATCTCAGTAGTTGGACGGTCTCATTCTATTCTCTCTGATGTTCTGTTCGTGACACTTCATTTAGGTGCATACAGATGTACATTGCGTATAAATCATAATTAATAAACTCGATCCAGCTGTTTTCCCAATGAGAATGAGACATTTACCATTTAATCTATTCTCGATAAACCCTGAACTGTCTTTTATTCGTAGAAATTTGATTGCTTTTGCTTTGGAATTCGTCGAAACTAGCAGCTCATCAGAGTATTTAGTACTACTTACAATAAGAGGTTTCCCGGAAAGTTCTTATCATACTAGGTTTTCCGATGGCATCACTTTAGAATCGATGCCGTTATGTTTTTTTTTCTCAATCTCGCTATCCGCTCCGCACCCACGAATTCGAAATGGATTCGAGCAGACTACTCGGTTTGCATAATCGTGTTGCGTCGACTGCTTCGAACTTGACCTCGCGTACCATGGACCCCACAATTAACGAGCCTACATCCATGTCCAGTCGAAATACGTCCCATTCGGACATCAGAACAGATCAGGTCAACAGTACTCCAACCATCGCTACTGCAACCGGTAGCCAAGGCTCATTGGATATTGCGTCTGTAGCGGATGCTGCTTCTGTCACAGCTGACCGCCAGCAACACCCCGAACGGAACACGAAGCCTGATTTAATTGGCTCGCCCCAAGCATCTGATACTCAAACACGATCCGATCGGAGCTGGTTACCCGGTCTGGGTCGTGTGCCGATGCTCGCACAACTATTGGATGAGGTAGACACGGCTCGATTCTACGCATACTGCGAGGAGGTAAGCAATTACCAACAAGAAGAGCACTCTAGGCCTGTGTTATTATATTGTTCAATATTGCTAGTATGTTTGCGATTCATATTATTCCGTTTTCGAAAGTCCCACTTTGGTTAACTCCATTGTCGATGAACAAAGTGTGGCGTTTTTGACTATCCTGTGATAATCCACGCACTACGAAACCGCACTTGTGTCAACTAACTGAGACCCCTCCACCATGCACAATGCTGACTGGGTCATATGTTACGCATCGTTCCTCGCGTATAATTTCTGTGAATTTAAGCAGCACCTGGGAGAACACGGAGATCGATCAGGGGGAGCTGATCACCAATTTTTGATCTGAAGTTTCTTGGGTGATGTATTCTGTGATGAAGCTATTCAGTAGTTAGTGACAATGGATACTGTGGTTGACAGCCCTAAACCGTAAGGCTCCCAAAATCACTAGTTTTTTTGCACATTTAGTTTAACTGCATTTGTTTTTTTGTCGTGGTGCTGTTACTTGCTCTCCACTTCTTCAGTCTTTCTGAACTTGATCGAAATCTCAGATACATTCATACCATTTGGAAGGAATCATTGCGTTCAGCAGCTAGTTGCATCGTTTGATTTCTGCACGGTGTATTTCGTTGTCATTCTTCGTACAATTTACGGTTATGTACTTAATCATGCTACCCGGTTGTCCATTGCAACATATGCTTGTGACCTACCTGTCAGTCCCCAGATTCACTAACTGAAGTTCTGTCGATCGATTCTTCCTGATGATGAGGCCCAGCCTGGTTGTACATTTTGCTTCCGAACGTTCCAGCTTCCTTTGCTCTGTCCGCAACAAAATGCTCAATATAAATCAAGTTTGAAATGCTAGGATAATTATTGAATGCTTATATGCACTTAGCTGTTGGTAAGACTGTATACCAATGTCAGTCACGCTTTACCTGAGAATACAAAAAAAGGAGAAAGGGTGTCGCATTTGTCGGATCTGGACTCAACCTCTAGATCAGAAGTATGGTGACCCCAAGCGCTGCCGGACAACAGTGGCATGTGCATTGTGTATTCTGCAGCGGTACACGCTGTCTTGCTCTACGGATGCGAAACTTGGCCTCTATGAGCAGATCATTTCCAACGATTGTCCGTTTTGCACAACCGTTGTCTGCGCAACATCACCCGCGTATGATGGGAGCATCACGTGAACAACGATGAGGTCAGATAATCTTCCACCGAGCAAAACCATTTTACTGCACCGTCTGAGTTCACAGAGACACGTCTTACTAATGCGTGCGCTATTTGCAGAAATAGGTCCGAACTGGAAGAGGGCGCGTTAGATAAGCTAGACGTGGCGTGGAGGGTTGAAGAGATCGTGTTTCGGCTAGGGCTCTCCGGCTGGGGCCCCAAAGAATCGGATTATCGTTCGCTGGAGACTGTGGGATATAGCATCAAAGGAAAATCAGTGGCTTCTATGCCTCCTTTACTGTCTGCAATCTGAAAATAAGAAGACAAAAACATGAATGGTGAATGCCTTAAATAAGCAAATGCGTTGTTGTCCCCTACATAAAACTGATTTATTTTCCTCTTTGTTTTGCTTCGGTACTTCTCTCTCAACCCCTGGTCATTTTGGTGCCGTATCTGTAAAGACTGGTGTTAAATGTTATATATATATATATATATATATATATACCACTTAGTGGAATCCGGGGTTTTCTTTCCCATCTGTGGTGGCATTTGCCCCATTCCATGAAAAATATTTAATTACAATAAGATACAAGCATCCGGCGATTAAATCCGACTTTGTTTTTAACGGTAGGTCTATACCTGGCCGAGCTAATGCAACTAACCCTTCGCCCGAGTACCTGATTCCCTGCCCACTCACTGTCTTATAGACCGCTTTTCTGACCAATTTAAGAAGTTTCTAGCGAGTTAATGATGGTACTCAAAAACCGCTTAGTGGATAGTTGAAAGAACATCTTGCAAGTGCCCCAAAGCCACGGGTATCATAATCCGGAGCATACTTACCACATAGCATTTGAAAGTATCTCTTTCCTAATACATACTTTTTACGGTCGGCAAAGTTTTATGTATTTACATGTACAGATACACTGATACGTTCATTCTGTTTTCAATTGAGACTGATCCCTTCCTTATTCCTTACGATTATCAACAACCTGCCTTCTGTCTGCGTTGTTTCACCAGCAGTGTTTCGGCCGTTTGTAAAACACCCTTTTTGATTGGATAAACGTGCATTCCAACTGTAGAGGGTTATCTTTAAACTTATCAGTACTTTGATTGATTCCGAGGTTAAAAGGTTGTGAACAAATGGTAAATAATCACGACTGGCACCATGATGGTTGTCGAATAGGTGGAAAGCAATAAATTCTGTCAACTGTTATTGGTTGAATTTGCATCAGTCCTGTATCATGGACACTGATAGCCCACGTCGTAATTTACACATTATTGCGTTCTTCTTAGTTGAAGATAGGGGATCCTATTAAAGCAAGCATCCGTTCTGACTAGTCGCTATCAGTATCAGATAACTTCGGAAGTAGATAGGATAACAGTGGATTCGTGTGATGCTGACTTCGTGTCAGTTGTTGGGAAACCGCCTGGGCCATCGGTGCCGTATGTGGTTCATTTGTTTTCTCTCCCGTCGCTTTTGCTCACAGGAACCCAAACAAACTGATGTGATGGGTCAGTTGCAAGGCTTGAATATTTGTGCGTCCAGCCCGGTGATAGCTCGAAATTGGCACGTCGAACTGGTGAACAGTCAGGTACGCAATGACCGTTTCGTACTTTTTCCGTACACTTTAAAAATATGCTCTTCGCATAATTAAAACGGCATGAGGATTTGTTTATGTCATACGTTTGCCGCTGATGTGAATTGCCTAGTTCTCCCATCGTTTTATTCTGTTCTATTTTAGTCAGGATTTTCAGATTATGTGATGGTGTGTAATTAGGAATTCCTTTTGTGAAAGTGCAGTAGCCCTTTCAGTTCATCGCCTGGGTTTATCCACTCTGTCGTGTACTCCTTCCCGGTAGTCTATACTATCCTGGCTCCCCGGGGTGAAGAACGTTAAATTGGCCATTTACTCACCAAGTAGTTCCTAATAGATGTGACTTTTTAAAAATATCTTTTTTACTTTTTTATTTATTGAATATATAAATGTACAGTTAACTTTCAGGAAGGGGGCCGCGGCCATACAAAGGCCGTCTGGGAAATACTGAAGTAGGATAGGCAGGTAACGGTGGAGCGGTTCCAACCCCGGACCCCCAGGTCACGATTCGGTGACCTAACCACTTGGCCACCACTGCCCGATGATTATTCATCAGATATTTGATAACGGTTCGATTGTCAATGCAATTAACTCATGTGCCTGTTTTTGATTGATTGTTTTCCCTCTCCTTCTGGTGACAGGCAATAGCCTATGCTGCGCAACAATCCACATGACTGACATTCAAATTGCCTCTCATTTTCATCGCCTGTTTGGTTCAACCTGTGGTCCAGTTAGATCCGACTGGATGTTCTATATTAGGAAAATCCTACACCTTGATGCCTTTCTTGTCCTCCGGAGTATTTTCACAGATGATATTTCAAAAGGGTGTGTGAATTACTGGCAGATTCGGAATGAGGTTCACCGGTAACACCAGTCTGATTTCATTTCTGGTTAGGATGATTCAATTTTTACACTCCCTATTTCGGATTAGAAGAAATTAATGCGGAGACGATGCACGCTAGAATCCTTTTCAACTATCTTCATTGGTTTGCGCATTTTCAGATGTTGTATACAATAGGGTATTTCTCATTTTTATTGCAAAGAAACTTACAAAGCATCAAAATGTTGACCTTGGTTGTCGGAATTCTAGAGTCACGCTGTTCGAAAATTAAAAAAAATCTGCGTTCGCTGCCCTTGAATAATGTAAACAGAGAACCTCCCCATAGTTTGGACGATTAAAGACTTCCGGTCTGCTATTCACTGATTTTCAGATTGATTTTGAGCATACAAACACATTGCACAGTGTGAAAGAATCGCCAATTCAACACTCGTGTGTATTTGCGTGTGTGACAGCTTTGGGTTGGTTGCATACTTAAGAGTATTTGTGAAACTTTGTTATACTGAGTGCTCTTGTAAATGGCAGTTTAGCCAGATACTGATGATCAAACTAGATAAAAAGCATTGGGATTCTTCTGGATCTCATTCCGTTTCTCTATTCGAGGATATATATATATATATATATATATTCTTCACTAATCACTAATCCACCACACGGGGAGGGTTAAGACTTTGCAGACATGCTGCTCTCAACCAGCCTATTTGTCGATCAAAATAACTATTTGATATTATATTTAGCGAGTTAGCTACTGTTGGCTGCGAAAAATGTGTCTGATTGTCATTCGTTAAATAACTCAATTATATATATAACTAGATGATTTATTACCGGAAATGCGCTCCTGCGAAACTGGTCGTTTGCCTTCGGTGACCTTTTATGGGGTCACTCATATTCAAACCAGTCGGAGTGGCACGCGGAAGAAGAGGCAACGTAAGTGCAAAGTGCGGACGAAAACCAAGAAGGAATGACCCACAGAAAGAGGCATGAATCATCCGGCCGCGCGGTTGAGAATTGATTGTATATATACAATTAGTCGAACGCATACACCGTTTGCTTTTGAATTGGATCAATAGACGTTTTTCCCAGCCTTCTGGCTATAGTGGTGCCGTCGCCCAAGTCAGCACAACGCAATGAAGCTACCCTGGTCGAACGAGTTTGCAGACGGAGATGTGGAGAAGTGGATTCGCGATTTTGAATTAATCGCATCGTGCAACGGCATGAGAGAGAGTGCGCGCATGGTCACCGCGTTGGTCGCACTGCTCACCGGATGAGCGAGGGCCGCTTACGACTTGAATTCGGAAAGCAATCAAGCCCTAGACTGAAAATTTGAAATCTGCATTGGTGGCAGAATTTTCAAAGGAGGGTGACCGCGAGAAGGCGATGAACCGGTTTTACGCTGCGGAGTACAACCGGACTGATGCCCCTTTGGTGCACCACCGCAACATAAAGCGACAAATTTCCTTGAGCCTGCTGGAGGCGAATAACGAAACACGGGAGAGGCTTCCCAAAGACCGGTTCATACAAAGCATACTGGTACAGGTGAAAAAAAACTGAGACTGGCGTGCAGAGTAAATGATAGAGTGGGCCTAATTTCGATTGCGCAAACCTGTCAACATGATGACATGGTTGCTCGGGTGGATGCTGCTGAAACTGAAGATAAGATTGGACAAATATTTGAAGACATTAGAAGACTGAAAGATGAACTGAATGGCGGATCACAAGGAAGTAGACGTTTCAGGGCCCAAGTTCGAACAAAGCGGTGTTTCAGTTGCCACGGTATAGGACACTACCCGCTTTTGCCCAAACCAGCACATTCGTCCGTGTTTCTCATCCCACTGCCCGGGAGTTCTAAGGCTCGAGGTTTTCATTTTGGTACGGTCAACGATGGCTGTTATTGACACGGGTGCCGGGATTTCCCTTATGCCTCCGGTGGAAGGGGTTCCGATGAAGCCGTGCAATGTGAGCGTACGTGCGGTTGGTGGTATGCCACTCAGAGTCTTGGGTAAACAATGTGTTGATGTGCGGATTGGTGGGTGACCATGAGGTGTTCTTGATCGAAGGTGTAAGGGGGTTATAATCGGTGTCGGTCGGCTCAGGTGCGTGGGTGCGAAGATCGATTTCGTAGGAGGTAAATCACTCGTGGAATCACAAGCACATGAATTACACTCAGGAAAACAAATGCATTCTCTCGTCAGCGTTGTGAGGAAATCGGCCGTTCCGCAGTGTTCGATTTCATGTGTTAAGCAATACATTGAGAAGTATTCCGAATTGTTTTCTACTGCGGATGACGAGTATGGATTTTGTGATTGGTTGGAGCACAAAATAGAACTAACGCCAAGAGCCGCGTGTAAACCTGTGTACCGAAGGATACCTCATAGGATACTGCCGGAGGTGGAGAAACAAGAACGCGATATACTGTCAAAAGGTATCATCCGTAAAAGTACCAGCCCGTACTCGTCACCAGTGCTGCTCACTAGAAAATCTGACGGTTCCTACAGATTTTGTGTCGACTTTCGAGAACTGAATTGTGTAACCATAAAGGACACCTTTCCGATGCCACTGACGGGTGAGTTATTTGAACAACTCCACTCTACACGGGTACTGTCACTAATTGACTTGCGATCTGGGTATTGGCAACTACCAGTGGCAGCCAGGGACAGAGAGAAAATTGCATTTTGTGTCAACGGGCAGCAATACGAATTCGTTCGGATTGTACAATGCACCAGCCACGTTCAGACGTCTGTTGTTACAAATATTGGAAAACTTGGATGGTGTTGTAGTGTACGGGGAAGACATTGTTGTATTCTCGAAGACACCAGAGGAACACGTGCGTCGGCTGGGAGCGGTGCTGGGGAGAATCAAAAACGCAGGGTTGAAACTCAGTGCAAAGAAATGCCAAATCGCCCGGGACACAATCACCTGCTTGGGTCACATGGTCGGCGGAGGTAAAATTAAACCGTTGCCCGAGAAGACTGAAACGATTCGAAATTTTTCTTCCCCAAAGTCCAAACGCCAATGGCGATCGTTTTTGGAATGCAAAATTTGTGCCGCATTTCGCTGAAAAGGCTATCCCCTTGTTCCAGTTGTTGAGAACGGGTAGGAAGTTTGAATGGACGCCACGGTTGGAGACGGCCTTCCAAGAGCTAAAAAAAGTTACGGCTTCTGAGAGATGTCTGAAAATACCAAACCCTGCTGAAACCTTGACTGCGGCGGTCGATGCTAGCGATATTGGAATCGGAGCAGTGCTGTCACAACCTTCCGTAGTAATTGAATATGCCGGCCGCCTGCTCACAGACGCCGAAAGGTAGTACTCGACCACTGAAAAGGAGTGCCTGGCGATGGTATGGGCATTGGAGAAATGGCGAATGTATTTGATTGCGAACACGTTCCACATCAAGACAGACCACAGATCCTTGACGTGATTGATGACGGCGCGCGACCCTAGAGGAAGACTGGCGCGATGGTCGTATCGTCTTCAGGAATTTACGTTTACCATTGAACATGTTGACGATAAAGATAACGGGAAAGAGATCCACCGAATGCCACAACATCGGAGCTGTCGATCAACGCATCTCGCACCGCGATCGGGTCAAACCAGTCGGAACGGCACGCGGAAGAAGAGGCAACGCAAGTGCCAAGTGCGGACGAAAACCAAGAAGGAATGACCCACAGAAAGAGGCATGAATCATCCGGCCGCGCGGTTGAGAATTGATTGTATATATACAATCAATCGAACGCATACACCGTTTGCTTTTGAATTGGATCAATAGACGTTTTTTCCAGCCAGCTCGCCTTCTCGCTACAATGTTACTCGTTTATTATTATTATATTACCCATATATTTATATGAATATTTTTGACTGATATCCTTTCCACGGTCCAATTTTCGCTTTTTAATTGTCACTGCACATCAGTTACTTCTGAAGACACATAGTCTGGCTGGCTACGTGCTTGTGACGGCTGCCCGAGCCAAATTGAACGCTCTCGCCCATCCGCCTATCTGGCGTGACGCTCAATTGTTGACCAAATCATCTCTTGTGGGTCATCTGGAAGGCATGCAATACTTTGCCACAGTTGGTCAAGTGAGTCAGTTTATGGTAATGTACCCACTTACAGCTCTTATCCGTTTACCTTACTCTTACGAACGTTCCCAGGGCGTTCGTTCGAGTTTTGTTCATTTGGTTCCTTGAAGTGACTGTGAATGATGTAATACGCATAGTACCAAAGCTTGGTTGTTGCTATTGCCATTTCACAAATGTTTGGTTAGTTTTACCAGCGCTTTGTGTTCGCATAACCCCAATCTCCTTCGTATCGGATATAATTGTTCGTTTCAACCAAAGCATGTTCGACAAGACTGTGATTTCTAAGTTCTGGAAACACAGTAACATTTGACTCAGTTACAAAGGTGGCGGACACTAACTGTCATCCAGTTGCACTTCTTGTTCTGTTAAAAAATGGAATCAATTGTTGCTGATTCTATAATGGAGCATTTCACGCTGTCGCCGGTCTAACACGAATTTAGAAGAAAAAGGTTTTGGCCGCAAATCTGATGCTTGCACGGAATGAGTGGGCAAGATCAGTCGACGCAGGGCAGGCAGTAGACGTAGTCTACTTAGACTTCTCCAAAGCTTTTAACAGAGTTAAACACCGTATACTGCTGCAAAAGCTCCATAAGTACGGTGTTCGAGGACTGTTCCTTGACTGGATTGATGCATTTTTTCCACAACGTATCGTATCGGTTCGAGATAATGGTTCTCTATCGGTAACGATTGAGGCTCTCTCTAAAGTTCCACAAGGATCCGTACTTGATCCGTATCTTTCCCTACCATTCACAAACGGTCTATCAGCTGTATTTGGAGAAAAGGTATTATTATTCACTGATGACGCCAACAGGGACATTCTGGGTGGGTGCAATTCAGGGTCCAGAATATCGGCAGTCAACCAAGTTTCGCTAATCACAACAAGATCCCTTCATCATCATCATCATCATCATCATCATCATCATCATCATCATCATCATCATCATCATCATTGTACAGCATAATACAGTGAAGTTAACTTCACTGATCGCTGCCAAACATCCCGTTGACCTATTTGCAAACGCGGTTGCTCCTCTGGGGATATGTTAAGGAAGCATTGTGCATTTGTGTAAAAAAAGGTCAGAGAGTGTGTTTAGGAATCTGCTGGGTTTCGAATAGTTATTTATGCCGACCACTCGAATATCCGCAAAGAACAGCAATCAAAATAATCAAAGGGTTACAATCTAAAACCTACGATGCCTANATATGAATACCGTCGATTACTGGGAGACGTGATCCTCGTATATCGCGTACTATATAGATACATAGCCGACTATGAGCAGTGAGACTCAGAGGCTCAAGTAAGGTCAAAAAGCGGAAACGAAATGAACGATGCTTATTCGTGGTTTCTGCTTACGCTCCACTAGACTGTAGCCCGGATACAGTCAAGGACGCCCTCTGTCACAACCTACATGAGCTTCTTCTGAAAACACCTAAGACGGATATCGTGATCCTGGCCGGAGGCGCGTTGGTCGTCTATCACCCGATGAGACCCACCTTGGTGGCCGTCACGGCCTTGATAGCTGTCGTTCAGATAATGGGGATAGACTTCTTAGCATATGCTCCGAACACGGCCTGTTCCTTCAGACATTCTAAGCGTCACCCCGCCACCTGGCGTAACCTCTCATCGGCACAGACATGGAGTCAGACTGACTCTGTAGCCGCAAAAAGATGCGATGCAAACAGCTCGACGTCGTCAAGATCTCTGACCCAGTCGTACTAGCCGATTATCAAAACGAGTTGCCCGCAAGGCTAACTACCACCCCACGAAGTAGCGTAGATCAACACTGGACAACCATTCAAAACGCAGTGCACTCAACCGGTTTACGCAGTTGCGGCCTAACCCGCCGAGCTGTAAATCACTGGGTCTCCTCCAACTCTCTCGAACTCCTCGACGTGCGTCGGGCAATCCCGGTAGACCGCGAGTACAATGAACATCGCCTCTCCCTGAAGCATGTAAAGGAGATGGAGTCAGCGGCTAGGTGTGGAAACACCCAGCAACTTTTCTAGCTCATCCGTGCTAGAGGCCCCAAAAGACAGTGCGTTAGTGAAACAACCTGCGAAGTAGACGGCACGCTAATAAACAGCCTTCACCGACGATTGGAACGCTGGGTGGAGCACTTCACATTGCAGTTCAACCAGCCTCCCCCCCCCCCTGCGCTGGCTGCCCCAAGGAGCTTTCTTGAGAGTACACCCTGGCCACTATCCACGGGACCGCCCACAGAAGCGGAGATCCGAAAGGAACTCCAAGCCCTGAAACATCACAAGGCAGCTTGATTGTACGGCCTGCCACCCGCCCTCTTTAAAGATGGTGGAGAAGCTCTCGTAAGAGAATTTGTGAGACTGTTTTCGAAGATCTGGGAAACTGAAAAGTGTACCCACACATGGGGAGAATCGATTGTCACACCCGTCTACAAAAAGGGCTGTCACAACACCTATTCCAACCACAGGGGCATAAGTCTGACTCCAATAGCGCCGAAGCTGCTAGCTTCCGTTTTATTACGCAGGTTATGTCCATTCCTTGAGAAGCGAATCCGCGAACAGCAGGCCGGGTTTCGTGCACGCCATGGATGCATCGATCAAATCTTCATCCTTCGTTCGCTACTAGAACACCGCCACGCATACAGACGCCAAACCATTGTCGTGTTTTTAGACATTAGAACGGCTTCGACTCTATCGATCGCCCTGCGCTGTGGAATTGTTTGCGGAGATACGGAGTTGCATAATGGCTGGCGGAGGTGTGGGCGAGATCTCTCAGCGCGTGATCAAAGCTAGATTAGCGTTTGCGACATCTCTGGTGCCGGCGCGACATATCCTTTCAACGAAAGGGCGTGTATTGCGCAACGGTACGCACCATGTTGCTCTATGGATGCGAGACCTGGCCTCACCGAGCAGATCACGTCCAGCGACTATCAGTCTTCGACAACCGCTGCCTGAGCAACATCGCCCGCGTATGGTGGGAGCATCGCGTGAATAACGATGAAGTCAGACAGTGGGTGCTAGGGCCAAATAGTCTTCCTTTGAGTAAAATAATTTCATAGCATCGTCTTAGGTGGCTAGGGCACGTCCTACGAATGCCTGAGCGCCGTCTGCCGCACCATGCACTACTCGCAGACATCGGTCCAGGCTGGAAGAAACATCGGGGTGAACAGGCTATGACGTGTCGCAGAGGTTTAAAGAGATTGTGCTCGTATCTGGCATCCGTTGGGGTTTCCCGGCTCCCCGGTTGGGGCCCCAAAGATTCAGATCGT